ATTGTCCTAGGAGCTCAGAACCCAGGGATGCATCCTGGCTCCAGCTCAGTGAGGTGTTGGGGCTGGTGGTTGCTCCTTGTTAGAGCAGGGCAGGGAAAGGCAGTGGAGAAACCCAACTCCTTGGGCCCTGTACCTGCTGAACCCTTAGGTCATAAGTGTAGTCCAGATGAAATGACACATAGGAAGGAGGAGATAGTCTAGGCATGGAGGCACAAGCCTATAATCTCAGCAACTTGGGAGGCTGAGACAGGAAATTACAATTTTGAGGCCAGCCTCGGCAATTTAGCAAGGCCCTTAGCAACTTAGAGAAAACCTGTGTCAAAATAAAAAATAAAAAGGGGTGGGGACATAGCTCAGTAGTAAAGCACCCCTGGTTCCAAAAAGAAAGGGGGAGAGAGAAGAAATGGCAGACAAGATAGAATGGAGGCAGACAAAGATCGCCTCCTGGAAGAGATCCCCGGGAGAGGCCAGAGCCCCGTGGTGGTTGTCCTGTTGTCCTCTAAACTCACTGGAGCCCCAAGCCTTTCAGACAGTTCTAGGGGTTGGGTGGAGGATGGCTGCTCTCACCTTGTGAGATCTTCCTGAAGACACTACCTGGTCTTTCACCACCTTCTTCCCCTCTCTGGCCAGCCAGAAGAGGGCCTGGGAGAGGAGGAGGACAGATGGAAAAGGTAGATGTGGATACTCACCAGGCAGGTTGAGGGTTCCATCCCCAATAAGGAGTAGCAGCAGCAGAGGCCAGCAGCTGCCCATGTCTGTGCTGGTGGATGGCCCCAGAGGGTGCTGGGAAGAGTTCTGGCCTGAGCAGGGGAATGGACAGATGGATAGCAACTCCAAGACAGGAGGCCTTGCTGGCTCTGGTGCTGCCTGTTCTCCGTTGCCGAGCACACTGCTCATCCCTAGCTATCAGACTGGTTCCCTGCAGGCCCCAGAGGGCTTTTCAGAACAGGAACCAAGGCTGAAGGGAGGGGGATGAGATAGTTTCCCATCAAATGCAATCAGAGGACCTCTGGGGACTGTCATTCCAACAGGTGAAGATCCCCAAGGTCCCCAATTGTCAGCCTTTGCTGAACAATGGGACAGAACTCTGGGCCATCCAGACTTACCCCAACCTAACACCAGGGCACATGAATGATTCCCTGGATCTCCCTCCTCCTGGCCTAAGAGATGACCATTTGAGAATCCAAGTCTCCTGTCCTCCAAGGACTGCCACAGCTTTCTTAATCTATTGCCTGGTTCAGCAACCTGCTGAGGCTCCCAATGGCCTTTGGTGTGAAGATTCTAGATAGGCTTCAACAGGTCCCAAGTTCCCCAAGAGACTTCACCTGACCCACGAGATCCTCCTGCTTTCTTCTAGCAAAACTCAGTGCTGCCTTCCTCCAGGAAGCCTGCCACAACCCACATTTTTAAAAATATTTATTTATGTATGTATGTGTATGTATGTATGTCACGCTGAGGATCAAACCCAGTGTCTCATGCATGCGAGGCAAGCACTCAACCACTGAGCTACAACCCCAGCCCCAGAACACACATTTTAACTAGTTAATCTCCATCGCCCAAGGACAGAGCTGCTTATACATAACTGCATAGCTTAGTCAATCGTGACCCCATCGGAGTAGGGCTCCCCAGAGTGAAGACCCGTCTCCATCTTCAGACAGAGAAAGAGAGGGTAGTACTATATCCTTTAGCAGACAAGGGCTCCCAGGCATGGAGTCCAGATTCACCCCCTCACCAAAATTTAGAATCCTATGGGCTGGGGTTATAGATCTCTACCATTAAGTAAGAAATTTTCAGGGGGATGGATATTTTTCCCCCCACATTCCTCTTGAAGCTCCTGAGGGCATCAGATGAACTGACCTTGAGGGGCAAAGTCTATCTTCCTCATCAGACCTGGGGCAAGTAGCCAAAAGGAGTGGAGACCTAGGGGTGCAAGTACCAGTCAGACACTGATTCCAACTCAAAACTTTATTGTCAATGGACAGCACCTAACCTCACTGGTCTTGGCAGGTGGGCCTTTCTCTTCTTGGTGCTTGGTCCATTTAGGCTGTATCCAGCTCTGAGCTGGAACAGGGGTCTGGAATACCCACCCTTAGGCCAAGTCCTGGCTACCGTGGCCAGTACCCCCTTTCTCACGCATCTTTGCCGCTAGGGCTCCCACTTCATCCAGCATCCTTCTCCATCCTGGCTCCTCTGGACCTGGGACTCACAGGTACAAGCCGTGCGTGCACAGGTTGCCACCCTCACAGCCCCTGGGCCTCGGCTTCTGGGTAAGGAGAGCCTGGGCTCTTGCCAGCCTGTGCCAAGCCATGCTGGGGATGCAGGAAGCTGCAGAGCTGGCTGTGTGTGTGCTCGGCTCCCTCCTGCAGTCTCAATAGTTGAATTTCTGTTTGTTAAGCAGCATATTTGTGACAGATTCATGAACCTGTAAACCCAGAGGTCTTTTTGTCAGTCCCTATTCTGACATGACTGATTTCTTTCCTCCCCACCTCCAGTCCCAACAGCTGTCCCATTCCAGGGCTTTTAGGGAAGTCCTTCATAGATCTAACTCTAGCTGACTGGTAGCCCACTCTGAGCTGGTGAGCCTAGGTATTCACCAGGCTTCAGGTCATCCTGTCTCAGCAGATGGGGTGGAGGCAGAGAAGGAAACTAAATTAGGCTAGTGTGTGCACTTGTTCTATCCAGAAGCTTCCTCTTCCAGGAGGAGGCTGCTCTTATGCACCCTGGGTGGGATCCAGGAGTCTTTTGCCCATAGATGAGTTAAGCATCTAGCTCTAAGGAGAAGCTGAACTGGCTCAAACATACCAAGAAGAGGTGGGTTTGTAGGCGTTAGAGAACTAATGGGCTTCTAGGGTGGAGCCTAATAGGAGGGGCAGAGCCTCTCTCGAGAAGGAACAGGTAGACCTTAAACCCATTGGGCAGCCACAGCTGGGATGGGAGGGAGTTTAGGGGAGGGCTGATTTTGGGACTGCGACAGATTTCCCACCCTGGACAAAAGGCCCAGTGGCTAGGCTGGACTGGGCACGAGGCGGCACGGACGTGGGGCGAGTGGGGATTGGCTGGAGGGAAGATGCACCTTTTCCCTGGTAACTAGCGCAGAGAGCAAGTCTTGCTTGGTAGCCATACTGTACACGTCTATAGAGGAACGGGTCTCCATCGACGTGCTCACCGACAGGCGCCTGTGCAGAAGCACCTCCTCCTGCTCCTGGTTGAAGCGAATGGAGCGCACCTCATCTATGATCCTGGGGAGCGGGGAGTGCGTTAGGGGCATTGGAGGAGGGGAACAGCCCTTCCACCTCTTCCTTGGTAAGTGCCCCTTCGTTGTATCCCTCACCCCCTGCAGAGCACCAGACCATGATGTGTGAGATGGGAGGAACCCGAGGTCAGGATTCCAGCTCCTCCAGCAACAGGTTGGGGGACCCTGGACAAGTCATTTAACCTCTCTGGGCCCCAGGATCCTCATTAGAAAATAGTGGGGGCCTGAGGCCAGAAGAATCTGAGTTTCCGCCCAGCCCTGACTCCTGGGACTCTTGGTGACCCCAGGACTCCCGCCCCCCTACGTGTTAAGCTCCTCTCGGATCTCCTTGTACTGCATCAAGTTCTCCTGTATCGCCTCAAGCACCAAGCAAAAGTTGTCGCACGTTTTTTCCGAGAGGTTTGACAGGGGGCCCCCCTCAAGAGGTTCCTGGGGGACACCAGATTTCTCCAAGCGGGCTACTGCACAGTGCACGATTGGCAGCTCATCACCCCAGTCTTCCTCCTTCTCTGCGCCTGCCTGGGGGAGGAGGGATGGAGAGCTCAGACCAAGGGAGGACCAGTCTCTAAAGACAGCAAGGTTCTAATGCCCCTCATTTCAGCTCCAAGTTTTTTTTTTTTTTCTTCTCTGCCTCTCAGGATGGAACCCAGGGCATGGCAATGGCTCCCACTGAGCTCCACCTTCAGCCTTCAGCTCCAATTCCTCTGGCCTCCTGACCTTGCTCCGGGCGTTCAACTACAAATGCACAAGTCCATCCTTCATGCTTTGGAAATTCTCACCCCTTTCTAAACTTAGCCACTCCCCATTTCACCCCGATAAATCCTACTAGCAAGCTTCTAAAGCCCTATCTACTCTCAAGTCATAGAGCCCAGCCTTCAACCCTTCCAGAATTTTCTGTCTTCTCCGATCTCGTGGAGGCTCTACCCCTGAATGAATAGGACTGCATTAACTGACACTACGTGCCAAGCAGCGTTCGCTCACCCATTTACTCCTATGAGCCCTGTGAGGTATGTAGTAAGTAAGTGCTATTATTATTCCCGTTGTACAGAAGGGAAAATGAGGTTTAGATTGGTTAAATGCCCTAAGACCACCCAGCTGCACCATTTTGAGTTGTCATAGAAACTTAGAGAATCCACTCCCCTTAGATGCCCCAGTTGGTGGGTGGGCGGTTCAGATGAGAGGCTGCCGCCTCCAGGTCTCTGTTTCGCCTTTCTCCAGGCCCTTGAGTGTGCAAGCACACGGACACGTGCTCTAGTCAGTGCTTATGCATACACTCCTTTTCCTCCCCAACCCTCCCATCTCACGCACCTCCCTAAAGATTATTCGATGCTCCTGCTGCTGCTCTCCTGCCTTCATCATTTGTTCCAGATTGGTGGTCACCACGACGACGAACAGGTTGATGCCAATGAAGGCACCGATGGTGATGAAGATGGCAAAGTAGATGGCAGCCCCAATCTCCATTGCGTACTCCCTATCCTCCATCCTGGAGATGGCAGGCAGGGCCGCGTCACCTTCCTCGCTCTTTGAGCCTCAGTTTCCTCATCTATGAAATGGGGAAATTATCCCAAGGCCCTCTGGGACTTCTGCCTGCTTGGCTACTATTGCCAACATCTAATTCTCTACTCCCAGTTGTCATTGCAGCTGCTCCTTACTGTGCTGCTAGGCAGTGGGTCAACTCTCAAACCAGTCCCGCAAGGTGATCTGCCACATCAGCATTATCAAGTTTAATCTATTAGCTGTACTATTATTCATGGTTTTTCTTACTTTGAAAACTAATTCAAGTTCATTATAAAAAGATTGGAAGAAAAACACATAGGCAAAAAAAAAAAATCCCATCTCCTGAGTTATCCACTATTAATACCTTGTTGAAAATTTCCCCTAAAATATTTCCCCAAAATATAGTCCCCTGTACCAGGCTCTATACTAAGAGGTTGATACAGATTTTCTCTATTGATCCTCACAGCAATCCATGATATAGTTAATATGGGATTGTAATCCCATTTAACAGGGAAGGAAACTGAGACTCAGAAGAGAGATGAAGTAACTCGCCCAAAGTCACACGATTAGTATGGTAGAGCAAGAACTCAAAAGCCCAGTGCAACTTCACTGTGAGATGTGCAATTCTCTTCCCCCTACCTACAACTTAATGAACCAGGACTGCAGAGGCCATTTATCAACAAAGCTTCTACTCTCACCTGAAGGGGATAAAAATAAGTCACTGATAGTCATGCGTGGTGGTATCATCCCAGCCACTCGGGAGGCTGAGGCAGAAGGATCACAAGTTTGAGGCCAGCCTCAGTAACTTAGTCAGGACTGGAAATAAATAGGACTTAGACTTAATCAGGAAGAGGTAAAGGACAGAACACAAAAATAATCTTGGGTAGTAGGTTTAAAAATGAAGTTTCCACTAAGAAGCTGAAAAAACACTTTTCAGAAGAAGATATACAATCAATAAACAAATATATGAAAAAATGTTCAACATCTCTAGTAATTAGAGAAATGCAAATCAAAACTGCTCTAAGACTCTCACTCCAGTCAGAATGGCAGTCACCAAGAATACACACAACAGTAAGTGTTGACAAGGATGTGGGGAAAAGACACACTCATAAATTGCTAGTGGGATTGAAAATTGGTTCAGCTAATCTGGAAAGCAGTATGGAGATTCCTTAGAAAACTTGAAATGGAACCACCATTTGACCCAGCTATCCCACTCCTCAGTCTATACCCAAAAGACTTAAAAATAGAATACTATAGAGACACAGCCACATCAATGTTCACAGCAGCACAGCTCATAATAGCCAAACTGTGGAACCAACCTAGATGCCCTTCAATAGATGAATGGATAAAGAAACTGTGGAATATATACACAATGGAATATTACTCAGCAATAAAAGAGTAAAATTATGGCATTTGTAGTTAAATGGGTGGAGTTAAAGAATATCATGCTAGGTGAAGTAAGCCAATCCCCAAAAACCCAAAGGCTGAATGTTTTCTCTGATAAATGGATGCTAATTCATAATGGTGGGGATGGGGTATGGGATGAGTGGAGGAACTTTGGATGGGGCAAAGGGGAGAAGGGAGAGAAATTGGGGGTAGGAAAGATGGTGGAATCAGATGGACATTGTTATCCTAGGTACACGTATGATTGCACAAATGGTGTGACCCCACTTTGTGTACATCCAGAGATGTGAAAAAGTGTGCTCCATTTGTATCCAATGAATAGAAGAGCATTCTGCTGTCATGTATAACTGGTTAGAACAAATAAATAAATTTTATAAAATGAGTTTCCAGGGCCGGGGTTGTGGCTCAGTGGTAGAGCACTTGCCTAGCATGCCTGAGGCACTGGGTTCGATCCTCAGCATCACATAAAAAATAAAATAAAGATATTTTGTCCACCTAAAACTAAAAATGAGTTTCTAAGAGCCCAGGCAGTTTGGTGGACTCTCTTGTGGGCTGGAATTTGCCCGGTGACCACAGACCTACTCCCCAGTCCAAGGCCTAGCCACCCAGCTGTTTAGCATGACAGGAGAGGTCTTCACAAACAGGGTCTGGTGGCACTTTGAATATGTGGAATTTCAAGGGGGACAAGGATCACAAACTCAGAAATCCCACCCACAGGTATTTCCTTTTCCCTAACTTAAAGCCTTGGCCACCCGCTTCCTGATAGGCCATCCCAGCCCTGGAGGCCCCTCTCTCACTGCCAGCCCTTCTCCCCACCCAGTTCCCCTGCCTTTCAGGAGCTGTGGTCCCCTTCTTGCCAGGTTGGGATGGGAACCTGGAAGGTCCACCCTGTACTCACTGAAAGTCACTGTAGATGTCCAGCCAGCCGTCCTGTGTGATGCAGATGAAGAGAGTGTACAGGGCAACCCCCATGTTCCGGAAATGGTCAGGCACGAATGCACCAAAGAGTGTGACCCCAAACACTGAGAACACCTGCCAGAGAGACAAGGCCCCCCTAGATTCACCCAGGGGCCCCGAGGAGAAGACATGCAAATACATGCAAATTTTAAACAAAAGCTGCCAAGGGAATCCCAGGGATTCAGACCCCTGGGCCTCTCTTCTGCAGGAGCCCTGCTCTCCCCAGTGACCCAGGGACTCTGTTCGGGGATGGGGAATGGCCAGGGTGGGGGGTTGGGTACTGACCAGCATAAAGAAGAGGATAAGGGCCATGATATTGGCCAGGTCAGGCAAGGACTGCAGGATGACATGGATGATCCGGGCCAGGGGTTCCACCGCCATGCACACATGAACCAGACGAAGCACCCTGCAGCAGAGCCCCTCAGGGGTGCCCCCTCAGTCCTTCCCAGACCTCTCCCTCCTCTCTGCCCCGCCACCAACTGCCCAGAGGCAGAGCTGAGCCCCAGCTGTTAACCACCTCCCTCTTTTCATTCCTGAGTCCAGACTCGTTCCCCCTCTCTTCAGAGCTCCCAGCTCACCTGAGTGTGTAGGTGACAGCCATGATACCAAGTTCTTTGATGAAGAACCCCATGAGCAAGATAAAGACGATAATGAAGTTGAGGATGTTCCAGCCGTCCTGAGGGGGGCACACTTCTCCTGAGTCTGCCCTCCCCACACCCTGAGGATGGGGAGCTCAGTGTTCTTCTCAGCGCAGGGCCAGCCAACTGCCATCCAGTGCTGTCACCCTGCCGCTCCACCCCACAGCATGCCACAAAACACACACGCAATCACTGTCCCATCCATGTGTTGAAAGCCAAGTGCCACCTTGGAGACTCACAGTGGAGTCTCACACACACACAGCTGGATGCCACCTGCCTAACCAACTGCAGAAGGCGGCCGTGGCCTACAGTTGGTGGCCTGAAAACACTTGGGTGCTCCTGCCTTTACAGTTAATAAGATGGAAGTAAACACTAATAAAAACACCCAAGATCACTGAGGCCGGTGAGAGGTAAAACAGCACTCCAGGAACCCGGAAGGGAGACAGGCAAATTCTGTGAGCCCTGTGTCCAGTATGGCACCTGCTCATACGGGAATGGAGAAGGTGGGGGAAGTGCACTTGTATGAAAGATTTTACCTACAATCCCACTTCTGGAAATCTGATGGGCAAATTCTCCGGTATAGGTACAAGATGACATTTGTATAAAGTTGAAAATGTCCAAAGTGCCCATTGGTTGGAGACTGGCACATTTATTTCATGGAGTACTATGTACCACAAAAAGACAAATAAGATAGATCACCATGTAGGATTGTCAGAACTGGGCACAGTGGCACAGGCCCGTCATTCCAGCAACTCGGTAGGCTGAGGCAGGAGGATCACAATTTCAAGGCCAGCCTGGGCAACTTGGCAAGGCCCTGTCCCAAAAAAAAAAAAAGGGCTGGGAGCATAGGTCAGTGGTAGAGCGCTCGCCTAGCATGTGCAAGGACCTGCACATTCAAGTACTAGAAAGAAAAAGAATAAAGAAGGAAGCAATAAAGATTGTCAGTGACTAAACTACAGCATAGGACAGTGTTGACAGTTAGCTACTGTCAGGAAAAGGAGGACTAAAAATACATACCCATTTGATATGATTGTAAAAATAACTACTGGGAGGATAAACAAGAGACTATAAATATAAGATTACCTAGAGAGGGTGAGGGTGAGGGGACTGCAGTGGAAGCAAGAATTCTGTGTACCTTTCAATATAGTTTTGACCAATATGTATCTACGAATCTGTATTAAATATACAAAAAAGGAAAAAATATATTTAATTTATTTATTTTTTGATACAGGGGATTGAAACCAGGAGTGCTTAATTACTGAGCCACATCCCAAGTCCTTCTTATGTTTTATTTTGAAACAGGGTCTCACTAAGTTGCTGAGGATGGCCTTGAACTTGGGATCTTCCTGTCTCAGACTCCTAAGTCACTAGAATTAAAAGTGTGCACCACCACACCAATTCTCTGTCTCTTAGAATTTGTGCCTGCACATACACATATATAGACAGGCAGACACAAGCCCAACTGTCTATGGATCTATCCTTTTGTCCATCCATTATTAATGGCCAGATCCTGAATCATTTCCCGAGGATGCAAAGTTTCTGCCCTACTGGGCTCAAAGACCACTTAAAGGGATGTGGACCTACAGCAAATTTTAACTCCATGTGAGATAGATAAGTACACATTATCACGGGGACAGAACAGCATCTGGCCTAGCCTGGGAGAGATGGGAAGATTCTTCCCAAGGAGAAGACATCCCAAGGGATCTGTAAGTAGAAGTAAAGCAAGTGAAGAGGAAAAATTAGAAGAGTACTTTGTGACACATGAAAATTATATGAAATATAATTTTCCCTAAATAATGTTTTATTAGAATAGAGCTGGGCATGGTGGTACATAACTGTAGCCCAAGCTACTCAGGAGGCTGAGGAAGGAGGATCATATGGGCCCAGGAGTTTGAGGCCAGCATGGGCAACATAGCAAGACCCCATCTCAAAAAACAAGAGTGGAGCATGTGGCGCACACCTGTAATCCCAGTGATTGAAAGTTCAAGGCCAGCCTCAGCAACTTAGCTAGACCTTGTTTCAAAATAAAAAACAAAAAGGACTGGGAATGTAGCTCAGTGTTAGAGCACACTTGGGTTCAATCCCTGTTACCAAAAATAAATAAATAAATAAATAAATAGCAAATAAACAGGAATCGAGGAGGAGGAGGAGGAGGAGGAGGAGGAGGAGGAGGAGGAGGAGGAGGAGGAGGAGGGCAGCGGAGGCTGGGGTTGTGGCTCAGTGGTAGCATGATTGCCTAGCATGTGTGAGGCACTGGGTTTGATTCTCAGCACCACATACACATAAATAAAATAAAGGTCCATCAAAAACTAAAAAAATATTTTTTAAAAAAGATTCTTTGGAATACAAACATGCTCAGTCATTTCTGTACTATGACTGTGTCTTTATTAAGCAGAGGTGGGTCACTGCAACAGAAACTGTAGAGGCCGTGAAGCTTCAAATATTATTCTGGTGCATTACAGAAGTTTGCTGACTCTTGCTCTGGAGCTCTGTAAATCAATCTCATTTCTCAGATGAAGAAATCAAACTTTTCCCAACTAAAGAGCTGGAGGAGGCTGGAACAGGGATGGGAACTCAAACCCACGGAGGCTGCACTTCAAGTACAATTTATCATCCGGTGTATCACAAGCATTCAAAATTCTCTCCCCCCTCCCCTCTCTCTACACACACACACACACACACACACACACACACCCCTCAGTTTGCAGGGCAGAGAGAAGAGGTGAAGGTGACAAGGTCCCAAGATCTCACCTTCCAGAAAATCCAAAAGCCATTGAGCCAGCCGAGGAGAACCTCACAGACAAGGATGGTCAGCACAATGTCATCTATGGTAGAGAACAACTGATAGTGTCTCTACACGGAAGATAGAGAAAAAGAGAGGGGCCAAGGTGTCGGTGAATAGGGCTGGGGGGAGGCCAGGGAGAAGGGCATCTGGCGGGGTGGGGAGGCCCAATCCCTGCTGCTTTTCAACTCTTCTGCATCTCTGTCCTTCCCGCGAGAACACACTCTGTGTTCATGCCAGGCACTGTGCTAAGACCACTCATGCACTGTTACTTGGGACTATCATCCTTGCAGAGTAGCTTCCTTTCCCATCCTACAGGTGGGGAGTTAGAGAGGGGCCCATGTGCACACAGCTTGTTGACTGCTGTCCACTCTAGGCCTTCGCTCCTGACCTCTAGAGTAGGGTGTTTGGGAAAGAGAGGTGGAGGAGAGACCCAACTAGTTCTAGTATTGGAGGAAAAGGGCTGAGCCTTGAAATTGGAGGACACAGCCTGGGGCCCTTCTCTGCCTATCCCAACCACTCCTGCTGCTCCAGTGCCTCAAGACCTTCAGGTCAGGCCTGACCAAACTCCTGGTGTCCTCCTGATTGTGGGTCTAGTACTGCTCTTGGGTGCATGAATCAATGGGCAGATAACTAGGGTCTGTCCAAAAGACCCAACTCACTTCAACTCAACCTCAATCCTAACAGTTTGTCTATAGCTGTGACACCAACTAACAGCCCACAGCCCCCTAACTTCACGCTGACATCACGAAAATCACCTCTTCTCCTTCTCCTCCCTCTCTTTACTCCAATGGCCAACTAGACTCGGTGCCTTGAGGCTCGAGCCACCCAGGGGGCCTCCCCCTTCTCTTTGCACCCCTCTCTCCTTCCCCCTCCAACTCCATTATCAAAATGGTGGTGGCATTTGCACTCTGAATTCATTTCCTGAGCCATAATGGTTCCTGACCTGTCCTCTGCTCTCCTCACTCTGCAAACATTGCAGTTGAGTTTCTGCCTCCAACACGAGAGAGAGGACTCTGGTGCAGGTCAGGGGATGCGTCCAGGCCTCACCTCTCCACCGCTGGCCCTGTTGCCTGTTCCCTTGATTGGCACTCTCCGTCCCACTCCACACCCCTGAACAATCTCAGTCCTGCTCCTTTGGCTTCCTTATAGGTGTGACCTCACTGACAACCCTCTGTGTTAGCTATTGTATGGACACCTCAGGTACCACACTGACCTCCATGTGGTCCCCAAACCTGCTTTTCCTCTCATCTCCACATTCAGACACACAGCGCCAGCCCTGATGCTGTTGCTCAAGCTGGAAGCTTCTCTTCCCTTCCTGCCCTCCCTTTGAATGAGATGGTGATATGTGAACACAAGGTGACATGTAATAAGTGCCCACTAAATGTTCAGTACAATATCATCCATCAGGAAGCTCCGTGGATTCTACTCCCAGAGAGTTTCAAATGCATCTGACTTTTCACCCAATGCCATCGTCCTGGTCCAAGTCCCACCATCTTTCACCTGGACCTCTGCAACAGGGTCCTGCCTGGCCCATCTTCCCCCATTCTTGGACCTGTCCCTTCCATAGTCCACACCGTGGCTGCCACTGCAAGTTTTCTAAAACACATATCTGGTCATTTCACTTCAAGGACTTCTTCCTTCTCATAACATGGGATCTGGCCCCTGACCACCTCTCTGAATTCAGCTGATGCCACCACAAGGGACATGTTATTTATTTTTGCAGTATTTGGGATTGAACACAGCATCTGATGTGGGCTAGCCAAGTGCTATACCACCGAGCCACACCCCCAGCCTAATACATTGATTTTTAGTAGCACAATACATATATGTATACTGTGTAAGAAATTAAGATGTCAAGGATAAGAGCAAAGTTATACTAAACTTCAAGTTGGGCAAAGAGAACTCTCCCACGTGCTGGCTCTTTCCCATCCCTCAATCTCTCTGCTATGCCCAGGGATCAAACTCAAAGCTTGCTGCATGCTGGGTAAATACTCTACCATGGAACTACATCCATAGCCCTTATGCTTTATTTTGAGGCAGGATCTCACTAAGTTGCTAAGGCTGGCCTTGAACTTGCAATCCTCCTGCCTCAGCATCCAGAGTCACCATGCCTGGTTCCCATCTCCCTTTGCCTGGCCAACTCCTACTTACTGTTTCCTGTGAGTGTGAAGCTCTTCTCCAGGAGGCCTTCCCTGACCTCCCACATTGAGTCGGATGGTCTTTGAGCTTCCACTTACTCTGTGAGACTCGGGCATTTGTGATGGCGTGTTTGTGTCTGAGACAGGAACTGGGTTTCGTGTGCTTTCAGCTAGAACTTTGGCACTGAGTGGTCTGTGCCTGGCCCAGAATGATTCTCCCTTAGTGACTGCCAAGACTGGACACTGTTCCTCACCAGGTGCCCATTTCGCTGCCTTTGCCCACACGACTCTTTTCCTGCCCATCTACAAATCCAACCAATTTCTCAAAGCCGGTCTCCAGAGCTTCCTCCACCACGAAACTTCCTTGACCTCCAGATCCCTAGAGGTCAGAGCTGACAGACCCTGAAAGCCTCCAATCCAACCATCAGAGACAGGTGAGGAACCTGTGGTGCGAGAAGGAAGTGCCTTGCCCAGAACCCCACCAGAGCCAGTGGGGGCAGAGATGCAGACAGCGTCCCACCTGACCCAGGACAAAGTTGGTGCGGAGAGCGATGGTGATGGCGTTGACCACCAACAGCAAGGCCAGCAGCAGCTGGAAGGCTGGGTGCCGCAGTAGCTGCTTGACGTACATGCGAGTGATGAACTCCTGCATGTCCCACGCATCCTGGGAGGAGGCAGAGACCTTCCTTCAGGCAGGTGTCACCACAGCTTTGCTCTCCGTGTATGCGGGTCCCTGCGGGCCCGCTCTAGTTGCCTGAGATCATGGAATGCGGGCATTGGGGTGGAGGTCATGACGTAAATGACCTAAAACAGGGTCACTGTTGGGGGGTATTTGTGTGGCTGGTGGCACGAGTGTTGTACTGGGGACGCTGCTGATGACTATCATGATATAAGGGTTCCTGTGGGGGGCACTGCAGGTAGTCACTAATGTAACATGAGGGGTCACTGCTGTGTAAGGCCGCCTTGCGGGGCATTAAGAAGGTAGAGGAAGGCCTGGTCTGTCCATGAGCAGGACTATAGAAAGGACCTGAGGGATGAGGGTCACCGAAGGCCCCAGCGCAGCCCAGTCCTTACCTTTTCACTTGAGATGTCCCTGCGGTTGATGAGCACTTGCTCCTCGTGCCGTATGAAGGGGTCATGCGTGGTCCTCTGCAGGAGAGAGAAGAGGGCCCTCAGTGCAGCCACTGCCCCTGCCCAGCCCAGGATGCCAGCTCCGTGACGGGGCCAGGCAAGGGCCTTGTACCAGTAATTTCAAATGTTTGACGTTGGTGGTGTCTGTCCATTGCTGCCACCAGGTCTTTTGGTTCTCGGCCATCTTCGTTCTGTCCACATCCACTCCTCCTTTTCCAAGAAACGTCCCTCCAAACAGTCTTGCTCCCTCTCGTGGTGAGATCACAGAAGCAGCTGTGATCTCTAGCGTTCTGCATTCTACCAAGGCGTTCCAACTCCAGAAGCTCCTTCCATTGCCCCTGGCTGCACCCCACGGAGGATGCCAGGGATGGTCTCCTGCTCTGGCTGTGGAGTCAAGGGACAGGTCCCTGCTCTGGATCTCTGAGATGAAGGTGAGGCTGGGATGAGAAATAGAGAGATGCAGGATCCTCCCCGAGGCAGACCTCCACCTGCACCCCTCCCTCCAGTGGTTGCCCCCTGCCCTTCATGCTGGGTATGTTTCCCCATCGACTAAGTAAACGTTTCCCACCAGTCCTCCCTGGGGAAGGGGGAGGGGAGCTCTTCTGGCCTCCTAAGGACTGAGGATGGATGGATGTGAGTAGGAGCCTTTCTTAATCATGGAGCAGAGCCCATCATCCTGGTGGGCAGGAGCTTCAGGTATAGAGCCCAGGCCAATGGGCTGTGGGGGGGGGGTTGTCACCCACCCTCCAGAGGAGAGCCATCCCAGACCCCTCTGAGAAGCAGACTCCTTTTTCTAAAGTAAAGGTACACACAGATTCATTTTCAAGAAATTAACTTTATTTGGTTGGAAAAGTGTCTCTTATGTAAAATAAACACTCATCCAGACCTGGCATCAGGAAGGGTGCCCTGCTGAGGGAAAGGGGTCGGGTAGACTGTGCCCCTCAGGCCTGAATATGGAGGAGAGTTTCTTCTTTGAAGGGAGGAGGTGACATAAAGCTCACTTCCCCCGACTCAGGGGAGACAGGAGCAGAAATGGTGGAGGCCTAGGCAGAGGGGTCAGCTTGGCGAGAGACCATGCCTAGCACTGCTTCTAGCCTTGAAAAGAACCCAGAAAGCTCTGTCGACATGTCAGCAGTAGGGGTGAGGTGGTCCTGAGGGCCAAAGGTTAGGAGCTGGGGTTCTGGCCAGGGTCAGAGGTCAGGAGGTCAGAGGCTGCTCCCTGGGTCAAGGAGCAAAGATGGGAGGGCTCCTCAGGGTCCGAGGACAGGGGTTGGGGGGACTGTGCTCTGGAGTCAGAGGTCAGAGCTTGGGGGCTGCTCTCAGCCTGCACCAACCCCCAGGCCCCCAGGCCCTCTGAGTACAGCTCCTGGTTCTTCTCCTTCCACCGGCGGAATTTCTCTCCCGTCAGCTCGGGGTCACTCAGCACCTCCTCCAGGGCCTGCAGTTCCTGCAGTTTTGCCTGACATGGGAGTAGTGGGTAAGGAGCCATGATCATCCAAGGCAGCAGCAGAGCCCAAGCCCAGAGCTAACTCTGGAGTCCTGTACCTAGAACCCTGCACCTGGCCAGCCAGGCACGAGAAGCCTGGGTAAGATTTCAAACCCAGCTTAGACCTAGAACTTGGACCAGTCCACAGCTGAGTCTAAAATGGACCCTACAGCCCAGGACTGAGCCCATTGTTAAGAGCTAAGCCCAAGGGGCTGGGGACTGGAGATGTGTTCAGTGGTAGATCACTCGCCTAGCATGCAAGAGGCCCTGGGTTCAGTTCCTAATTCCACCCCCGCGCCCCCAAAGAGCTAGGCCAAGCTCAGAGCTGAGTTCCCGAGTCGGACCGCCAGAGCCCAGAGCCCAGAGCCAAGTTCCCGAGGAGTCAGAAAGCTGGAGGCAGGAACCCAGGGCTGAGGCTGCAGGCCAAATCCAGAGTGGAGCTCAGCCAGGAACGGCCTGAAGCCCACAGCCCTCCTCACCGTGCCCAGTGCCCCCGGCTGACCTTGAGTGTGCTCTGTAGAGCCCGCACACGGTGCACTCGCTCATTGAGGTGGGGGTCTCGGTTGCGCCGCATGAAAGAGCTCCGCCACTGCTCATGGGTCAGGGGCTGTGGCTGTCCCAGCAGGGACACGCCACCCTGCCTTAGTCCCCGTACCATTCCTTCCAGTGCCCCTTCACTGCTGTCTGTGGGAGCAGGGAGCAGGATGAGGCTGTGCCCTCAGCCCTCCACCCAGTGCCCAATGCCCAGCCCCCAACTCCAGTGAACACCTGCTGGAGGGCCCAGGGAGGTCCTGGGGCTGCGCTGCGTCGGGGAGGCCGCAGGTGATATGTCTCCATGGAGTGGACTCCCAGTTTGAGATGGGCTGGGCTGAGGCAGGGTAAAAGAAGAGAGAGCCACATCCTGAGCCCCGTGTCCAGCTATTCTCCCTCCATCCCCGACCGGAAGTGGTCCTCTACCCACCGAGGCTGAGCGGGACGCAGTCTCGTCATCAGGGTCTTCTGCTTCTGTCTCACTGTAGCAGTCTAGGGTGGTGGGGAGCAGGTGGGGAACCCACAGGGTTTGGGAAGGCCAGGGAGTAGGCTGGGGGCTTTAAGTTCAAGCCCCCAAACCAGGAACAGGAGAGGCTCAGGTGAGACCTGATTCTTCCTCCCACCCCTGTGAGAGACCTACCTTCCTCTCGGGCTGAGGGGGCCCTGCCTGGGGACTGATACTTGGAAATGCAGGTAATGAGATGGCGAACCCACCTGTGGAGGAACAAACAGGTGTCAGGAGTTTCCATTCACTGAGGCCTTCTTATATCAGGGGATTTATATCAACGTCATCTTCAGACTAACTGGAAGAGGTGGGAACTCTTATTCACCCATTTTACAGATGATGAAACTGAGGTTTAGACAGTGAGCACCTTGACCAGCCACTGCCAGAGGGCTTGGATTTAGATCTTAGTCCAGCTCCTAAGCATTCAGAGTCTGGGAGCTATGC